CGATTACACTTTCAAGCTTAGTCGTGACAAATTTTTATTCAAATTTTTTACCAACAAGCAACGTAACAATCAAGTCAAATCGTGAGATGTTTTCACAGATCTCGTTGAGGACGAAAGCCGTGAGACTTGTTTTTTGTCCCTCAAATACCGTGGACAACACGGGCGGGTAGAACACTGTTTAGTGGCGAAAAACAAGTCTCGATCACTCGCTTTGTGTTTAAGATCTATTTAGTAGGCTAAACAAAAACAACAACTTATGTTGCCCTCAAGTCTGAAAATTAAAAAATTGGGTCGGTCGGTCGGATTTTTTTTAAAACTCGTGAAAACTAAGGGTATCGTAAATAGCCGAGGTATATGGGGAAAGAACGCGACCCGATATTTCATATTTTTCGGTCGGTTGCTGAGGGCAACAACACATTTTTTTTTTGGCCTTTACACTTATTTACACTTGTAGCATTGCTGACTATACGTGCTTTTTTTAACTCGTACAAATTTCCAATGTACGTACTGGGCACAGCCTAATTGTAGTATAGCCTACTTCTGGCACATATTCACCCGAGTACGCACAAAAGTAACCCATTTTCTATGCAGTCAGCAATCGCACTTCACACTCGTTTAAAGGGCGGTAGTCGTCGCGCCACGCGTGCGCGAGATATATTGGGTCTCACATAAACAAAGATGGCGACGTTGACTGTTTGACAAATTGAGACGTTACGAAGCTTTAATTAGGTATTTTTAGCTGATTGGGAGGTATCGAAGGAGTCACCGGCGGTAATAGTGCAAGTCGCGTCCAGGTCAAACCTCATACTTGTGATTTCCATTAGAAGAACGCATTGGATTGTGGGAAAATCAATTATAACCGATCGCCTCATTGAGAGATACATGAATAAGTATGTGAAACTGTAAATCAACACATCTTCCATTATTACCTTACCTTGTACGTGTTTATTCTGATTTGAATAATACGGTACCTTGTCTGCCACGCTTTCTAACTGTTCGGCAACTATTTTGGGAGAAGGGTGGGGCTCAGTTTTTGCCGGAGTCCTATCTGTGCATGAGTTCTCGGTGACTACCAATTATGGTGTAAGGACCAGCGTGTTCAGTTTTTTTTTTTTTTTTTTTTTTTTTGCGGATTAGATGGAATACGTTGTGCTTTTAACTCCTGATTGGTTGTGTCTCGTGGATAAACTACTAAATAG